ATATCACCAACCATTCCCATGTTATTACAGTGTATCCATAGAAATGACCCACCCTGTCAGGATAAACTCTAGTAGTCAATTTTATACTGATGATAAAACCTCAAGGCAAATCAGGAAATGGACCATGGTCTATGAATAAAAACCATTACTAGATTAAGCTAACTCCAAAACAGAAGCACTCCATTTGATTAAATGAAATCTTGTAATGACTGAATTTACTATATTTTAGCTAGGACTTGGAGCTGAAATTGTTTAGTGTACGTTATTTAACAGCTTTTCTGTAGCATCTAGTTCAAGACTATATTAGATACTCCTCATGGAAAATAAATCTACCAGCATAAATCAACATCAACTTCAAACCAATCATTGAAGAATATAACCATTTAATGAATATTAAAGGTCTATAATTATTACTTCCTTGATAATCTTTGCCCTCCTTGGAGATCCTCCCAGGGATCACTGAAAGTCATCCTCTAGAAAGGTGGGGTTTCACCTTTTTTCAAAATGAAGTTAAGTGTTCCAACCATTCATTACACGAGAGATGGGAGGTCACGGGATTTACTCAAGATCATTTGTTTTGATCTCTACGATAAATTGCTTGCATTGAAAACTGTTTCCTGAGGAAGTCAAATGCCGGTTGAACCATGAGTCTTATCAGAAGTAGTCCTTGGGAGAAGTTACAGTAAGCAGAGAGATAGCCTTGCTAAAATCTGTAAACTTTTATTCACATATCTATATATGATTCCAACCAATTATGGAATAATAGACTCCATAATTAACCTTATTGTGTGAAGAAGGTTCCCTGTTTACATGGACAAACTGGAGTTCCACAGCATTACGTACTAACACCAATTTTGTTTACATTGTATTTGCTTCCCACCTGCGGTTTCCCAAGGCATGGGTGTAACCCTATTAATACATATACTATATATAATAATTTACCCTCTCCCAATTGCATCCGTCACCCGCCATTGTACCACTCAAACAGATGACTTTGATGGGAATGGGAGGCAGTGGTTTCAGCTTTCCAACCACTCTTCTCTGGAGCCTGCTCCCAGTCTGGATTTGGATGACAGATACCCTGTCTACTATTAAGATTAGGCTTCAAACTTTCCTTTTTGCTAAAGCATATAGTTAGGGCTGGACCAGGTGACCCTGGATCCTCCCTTAGTTATTCTGCAATAGACGTAGGCTGCTGGGGGATTCCCATGATGCACTGGGTGTTTCTGCTTCACTCACTATGTGTTAATAGACCTCTCTGCACTGTATCATATTAATCTCTGTCTCTCTTCCACATCATGTCTTTATCCTGTCTTCTTAACCCAATCGGTCAAAGCAGATGACAGTTCTTCCTGAGCCTGGTTCTGCTGGAGGTTTCTTCCTGTTTTTCATTTCCTAAGTGTCAAACACCTCACACAAGTTTGTCACAAGGCTGAAACAGCCATGAGCACTCAATGGAACTCAAAGGCAGACCCACCCAGGGAAACAGAACAGGATTCACAAGGAGGGGGCTCACTAGGAGAGAGGGAAATAGAGTTGGTGTCACTGGTCCAGGAGAAAACCTTCCAGTTACACTGATTGGAGGTGGTGGACTTTGCTTACTTGAGCAGAGTGATTTTCAGGGAGGGGAAGCAACTGCTAGACTCTCTCAGCTCCAACAATCGCTCTCTCCGATTCCAGCGGGTGACTGGGTCCACGAGGGCAGACAGGTGAGTAATGAAACTGTGACCGAGCTTAGACCAGTGCGGCGGAGAGAAGAAGAGCAGTGTTGAGTGAACAGGTGAACCAAGCAGGTAAGTGATATAACCTGGACCCAAACTGAGACAGACTGGAAACAGGGAGAGAATATCATTAGCCACG